AGTACTTTTTGTGTCTTTCAAATTAAACTTTGAAACTTTTTACGAGAGTGTGTTGGAAAATAATCTATGTGAGAGCCAAAATTTCACGTAGACATCACGTCTAGAGACAAAATTATGTTATTTGAGGTAAGGGGATACAAAATCAGTATAAGAGAGCAAAAGTTTTGAATTTCTTTATTCAAAATTTTTGCTAAATAGATAGAGTTTCTAGGAGAGTATTTTTGAATGGTTTTCACTTTATGGAAAAGTAAATAAATAAAGTGGTTAGAATGTTAGGTTATCCAAATTGTCTTAAGGTTTGGATGTTATAGTCTCTTTAAACTTTAATACAAGAGAATTGAAGTTGAAGTTTGAAGAAAGAGTAGTAAATCAATCCCCAAGAGTCAAACGTGAGACTTGCTTTATGTACAGAGAGTAGGGACATAAGGTTATCATTTATTTTTTGCGGAACGAAGATAAAAGATTGAGTAGTAAGAGTAATTTGGGAGAATTGAAATTTCACTTGGGACTATCATTGTCACATGAATCCCAAAGCGCAACCTAAATTAATTCCTACCAATGTCGATATGGTAAACAAGAGATCTTCAAAAAAATGAACATCAAATAAATCTTTTGCTTTGGATGAGAAAGTCATGTAAGGTCGAAACTTAAAAAGTTAATAGAGTGATTAAAATTTTTAAGTATCACATTCACAAGTACACGATGATAAGCAATTTATCTAGAGTGAATAAGCAATTGCAAAATAACATGATTTATAGTATCACACGGTGAACCATTAATCACTTTTTAAGATTTATCTAGTCATACACTAATGACATCATGAATTTTTTATGTGTGAATTTTACATTAGCACAAATATATATTTCAAGATTTGGAAATGAGATTTTTTCACCACGAATTTCAAGTTTGCTAAAAAGATATGCAAATAATAAAATAGTTCAAAGAGTAATAAATTTTTGTGATAATCATCAATGCTATGCATGAAAAATAATGTATCACATTGCCAAGTTCAACCAAACTTGAATGTAATCACAAGAATGAATCCATACAGCGATTTCCGTTTGAAAATACGAAAAAAACTTAATGTGAAAAAGTTGAATAAATAGTTTTGAGTAACAAAGATCATCAATAAACTTGATTCGTAACTTTATTGGTATCACAAAGCAAAAAAAAAGTTGAAATTAGAAGAAGTCAATAATCGAGAGCCCATGAAAATAATAAAAAAAATAATTTTATTTATTATTATAGATAATTTGATAGAAATTTACAAGCTAAGATCAATAAGGAATTTTGTGTCACGAATTGATACAATGAAGTTAAAATTAAAATTATAAATGAGTAATTTGAATGGCCAAACAGACAAACTCAAGTGATAAAAACATTGTCATTACACGCTTTTGCTGACTGCTTGCGCGACTCCGCGCTGCTTGTTACTTTTACTTTTTGAAAACATATTTCAAAAATTTTAAAAACTAATTTTGTTAAGATGAATTTTTTATTTATGTGATTGATTTATGTCGACTTGTCGTCTATCACCTTTTGATCTAACACGTCATTGGATTTAGTTTGATTCAAAATCAATGCAATATATTTAAAATTTGACTATTATACAACGTGCATGTTATAACAATTTTTTGATGAAAATAAATTACTCAAAAATCTAATTATTTGAATTTGATTGTTCAAAATAATATTTTAGTTTAAATTTTATTAATAAAGATTTTTTCAAAAAATATTTCTAAAATTTGAATGAAATTTTCATACCATGATATATAAATAAACATTAAATCGTATGTTTATAATAACATTCACCTTCAATTTTGAATATATTTTCTAATTTATTAGAAATCAAATCTTGTAAAAAATATAATAAATTAATTATATATTTAACATAAAAAACATGTTAATATTTTTTGGTATCAAAATAGATTGTTGATAAAACCTTGAGACGCTTTTGTAATTATTAATATTTTTTCTAAAAAAAATTTCACAATATGTAACATGGATATATGTATAATATCATATATGTAATATGATATTCATACCATACTTTTAATATCTTTTCACAAGCATCGATTGATGTCTACATGACAAATTATTTGTGAAGGTTATAAATCATCCTAATTATATGTGATATTAAATCAATTGTTATGATGTTTTAGATCTTCTAGTATAGATATTTTTTAGTTGACAATATGACATAAAAGTCACTTTGTATATATTTTCGTTTTCCAATTTTTATATGACCTACCATGCTTACCTTGTAAGTTTGTCCATCCTGATGGTAGAGTTTCGAGGAGTAAAAAACGCACTAAACACGCGGCTTTGTTTCATTTGTGCCCTGTTGCATGGGCGTTTGGTAGCCACTGTTTCCTCCCCAGAAAGTCGCATATGATTTGTGAGGTTTGCTCGGCTGGTTCCTCCTTTCATTCCATATCCCATGTTCGATGATTTACAATAGCCTCCATCTAGGTTTACCACGGAATGCTCACGGATCATATGTGCGACTGAATTTATCGCGAAGGTAAGGTAGATGGAGAACGTCTGGTTTCGGGAGTACCAGGTCTGGGTACTAGGGAAAAGACTGCGTTCTGCGTATACGAAGTTCCAGCGCATCTAGAGAAGTTGCCGAATCGACGGTCAGTAAGGGTCTTCAAACGTTACATAGGACGTGGATTTTGCAAGCGGGTTCGCCACATTCGTTCGTGCTCGTAGATGACTTCACTGACTTGGGGTCCGGTAGTCCACCTCCAAATTGGTATCGTACTCTGAACTCGACGTCTCGTGATTCCTAAAAAGTGGTGGTATTTCTAATTTAGGCAGCGTTTGTTTGAGAGTCTGCCTTCTCGAGAAGGTCTGCCACTGTAAGTCACGTGGTGGGACATCGGACGTTGACCGCAGAATTCGTCAACGCAAGGGCGGCTTCTAACGTCTTCCTACACCAGCCCGTCTCCCGCAGCTAGCGGCGACCGGATGTTGGACTCCTCAAACCTGAATCTGCCATTTATTCTTGACCTACTGTCCTCCAGGACCGAGGCCGAGGCCCGACGAGGGATCGCTTCAATTTCGAGATTCCATATATTATCGGTAGAACGTGCACCCGCCCCGCGAAGCCAAGTTGGACGCTAATTTCCCCTGCCTCTTTTATTTTTTTCAGTAAATTCTTCTTCTTCTTGTTGTTGTTATTCAGAACTTAATACCAAAGTTGTGCAACACGCACATACGCGTTAAGGACAAACTTTGATTCTAAATATTCAGGCTCAAGCAAGAAAGCAAGAGCAGCATCTGATAATTTTTCGAACCGCAGGGCTCTAGTACCCATACATATCTCGTTAGATTTCCTATCATATTAAATTTTTTCTTTATCATCAATGTATTTATATAGATGAGATCCACTGAAGTAGTGAAGGCATTGATGAAAGTGAGAAATAGGCCAAATACAGGAAAAATAGCAGGGAAGAGCTATCAAGCCGGGAAAAAAGAAAAACACGAACGAACTAGGGCATTAAAAAAACCTTTTTCAATTTTGGATTAGTAATACAGAATCTTTCAAAGTGTTTAAGATGTCAGTAATTTGGCCTTTTGGAGGCTGATTGGCTTCTTTTTCTTGCTTCATTGTAACCCAAGAAGAGGCTACATGTTTCGTTCATAAGAACCGCACGTGCACAAATAGGTACGGTAATTGATTTTTGGACCTACGGTTGTACTTTGAGCAGAGTCGTTGCAGTGATAAGGGCCAAACTTTAAAATAACGCCTAGTGCCAAGATCTACGAGGCCTTTGCTGCGGTATTACGACGTGCGCAAGGCCATGAATGGAAGATGAGAGGATGGAAGACGAGAGGCTAGAATGAGCACTCTAATCATCTGTGTACATATGATTTAAATATATATAAATAATGAAGACCCATTCAGGATGGTACATGAATTAAACCAAAAACGGGTACCGTGGGGCTAGCCCCGATATCATCACTATGGAAAATTGTACTACTGTATTTAAGCTTTAGAACTACACATCTGCAGAAACTGAAACACTCCAAATCTTATCAGAGCATCTGAAAAAATTAACCTTGGTAGATTGCGTTTGCAAAGATCTGAAAATTTTTGCTCTGACCGTATTCTCTGATCCGGAGAAGCAAAATAATGAAAACGAATATAGCAGATGGTCCAACTACAGAATTTTTTCTTTTTTCTTTGGTTGTGCTTTGTCCGAGAGAGAGAAACGCTAACATAGACTACACAATATACAATGCAATAAAACAAACGAGCACAGAATGCCAGAAACATTCCTGCCCCGTTGGAAGGAGGGTACCATCCAAAGTGCCATCCGTCCTTTGTGCACGTAAAACTCGTGATCGCATGGGGACCGGTGGATCGGGAGCGGGCCGCAAATCGAAGAGCGAAAAGGTTCAAAAAGCCCAAAAATTAATACATCTCCACGATCAAGGGGACAATCTATCGCGCAGAAAAGCAATAATCCCCTGGCGGAGAACAGACAAAAGCTCGCGCAACCGACGGGATCCGACGGGTGCAGGTCGGGGACCGGAGTCACCACCAGACTGCTGACTGACCGATGCGGTGCCAGAGGCGGAACGCTGAACTGCGTGCGTCACCGGGGCTGCCTGCCGCGCCCTCGGGAGAAGCAGTAGCCAGGGACCGCAGTGGCCATGGGCATGTGGTACCAACCAACCCGCGGGCGCTGCAGCGACCAGTGAAGCCGGTGGGAGTGGAGGACCCGGTCCCAGAGAGAGGGCGGAATCTAGCGGACCCGGGTGGAGATCCGGCATCCGGGCCGTAGAACGAAGGCCGCAACGGCCCGGATCTGTCGAAACCGGATCCCCGCCGCGAGCAGCAAAGCCCGAAAGGTCACAGGTGACACTTCCGGTGGGCGAGAAAAGTCAAAAAGGGGTCGGGAATCGGAATCCCAGCGGGCTGTACCGTTGGTCCGGAGGAGCGCGGCACAAAGTTCAGGAGAGATCGCAGAGTCAATGAGCGTGAAGTCACTCGCGGACTCGAGAGTCAGCAGCGCACCCGCTGCTGGAATAGTGCTCGTGCGCGCGCTGTCCTCTGTTGCGGCCGACGCGAATTTACTACAAGATCTCGGGCAGGGGCGAGCGAAGGGCTCGTAGGTGGAGTTGCGCTGCTGCTGCCAGGACAGGCACGGCTCTTCTTAGGTTCCGGAATCCTCGAGCGAGTCGGCCCTGCGCACTCGGGCATTGCTCTGTACGAATCCTTCCCCCTCCCCCTCGATCGATTATTCGTTCGCCTTCCATCCCTCCTCCCTTCCCTCCCCTTGACTCGCTCGTTCTCGTTTCTTGATGACGATGGTGGTGGTGGTGGAAACTCCGCTGGACGACATCAGCCCCAGGGGATAAGAGATAAAGAGATCACTCGATCACTCGATCACTGATGTGACGAGCCGTCCCAATTCCCCACCTGAACCGCGTTCGTCGAGACTCCGGTGCGTGAAGAAGGCGTAGCAGCTCGAGAGGCCGACAGGAAGGCAAGAGTTCAAGCTGTCACTGATGCACAGTGGACGGAGGGAGGGAATTGCCACTCGAGGATTGGGAATTGCCAAATTCGGAGGGGCCGTGCAGGTTGATTCTTGTCGACCAGTGGGGTCCGTCTGGACTGGACAGTGAGCGCGACCGGTGTGTTGAGACAGCGATTGATCGCAGAAGACTTCGGGCGGAGGATTTCGAAGCTGTGCCGTTAGGTGAGGCATTTCTCCTCGAGGCCAGTCCCGGGAAAGTCACGTGGTCGGTCTGCAGGGGGACGAGTGGAAGTCCGAGATACAGGAACTGAGATTGCGACTGAAGTGAGAGAGATTTCGGCCAGCGATTGTGAGAATATGAATGCTTTTAGGGCGTGCGAGTCTGTGATATGTAGAAGCAGGGCCGGTGGATTTTGAGCGGCTGGCTGCAGGGGCAATTTGTGTGCGCAGCGGGTCCCTTCGCGAATAGGGACCTGCATTGCCAAGCTTTGCCGGCTCCCAGGTGACGAGCGCATGAGATTGCCATTGGGCGTTGGTGGAGGCGTCTGATATGCTGGCCTCAATGAGTCGCTGACCGTCACTGGGATCGGTCAACATCGGTACGAAGGTGAGACATCTGTTGCTTCTGGATCACACCGTAACATGTTATTTTCTCACGCTGGGCTGACCAAATTTCCATGAAAACAGTATGATGGTCATGGTTCTTCATGCTCTTTTCTTTTCCAGCATGCGTCCAGATCAGCTGCAGACAGTTTGAGCACTTCTGCTGTCCATGCAAATAGTCTCCAGTTGTCACTCGAGTGGAACCAAAGCTAGGCTGACTGATTGACTGGCTCGTCTGTCAAAGCCTCAAACGCGTTGTGAAATTTGTCTGATGATCCTTTGTGAGATGTTGCTTGCTTTCAAATGTTAAAACAAAGCGAAAGTTTGTTACTTCTGTTCAGCGCTTTCCAACTGTACAAGAAATCTGGGTACCTGCTCCATCTGAATTTTGCGTGGTTCAATTTGCTCACCTGAACTTAAAATTTACGTACGTACCTGCTCGCAAATGGTGCGCATTCTAGATTGTCAGTCGCATTTGCAGGATGAAAAACTCAATGTCTGTGTTCGAATCAATTTTTACGGTTGGAGAGCTAAGGAGTGGTTTAACGCAACGCTTCGGTGACGAGAAATGTTATCCCGCTCATCTGCTTATGTGCCTTGCACAACTCACGTGCAGCTTGAGATCTATGGAACCACCTGAACTGATAGCCAGTATGTTTGTATGTGGGTTTTGCAGTAGCAGACGCTTGTATCGTCATCATGGCGTCCTCTTCAGTGTGGAATTACTGCACTGGTCCTGCCAGGCTTCCTGAGGAAACATGGGGAGCACACGTGTTGTCGATTTTGTATTTTCTCCTCACAGAACCATGTGCCCAGCGAATCGCCACGTTTCTTGTAAACAGCATTTTCGTGATAATCATAGGGATTTTCGCTGGTTACAAGCTCTGGTCGGTTAGACTTCACAAAAAGTCGAGGGGAGTCTCGAATGGTAACACCCCTGCGACTGTCTTGAAGGTGACGAGAGTCGGCAAGAGCTTCACACTCACCGTCGTTCTCACAGGCGTTTCCTGCTTTGTATACCTCCTCGCAGCTGCATGGCGTTTTTGGGTTGTTTTTGTCAGTAACTGGGAAGATACCACCATTCTAGAACTGACATTTGCCTGCATTCAATTCATGAGTTGGCTCATCTTTGCTACCGTCGTTGCTCATGAAAAACTCTTCTGTGCCAGACATCACCCACCGAGTCTTCGAGCTTGGTGGGTGGCGTTGTTTATCCTGTCCATCTGGCCGCTTGCATCTGCACTTGTGCAGTTTGCCCGGGATTCCCCCTACGATCCTGCTTCGTTGGACGACATTCTCGCCCTAGTTATATTCCCGGTCACCTCGTTTTTGATGGTGATTAGTATCAAGGGACGGACTGGTCTCGTGGTGGAAGAAGTTGTTCCAGACCTCATCGAGCCTCTTTTGGATCCTGACGCAATAGACCAAAATCCCGCGCTCGTCACAGATTACGCCGAGGCAAGTTTGTTCAACAGAGCAGGATGGTTTTGGATGAATCCTCTGCTCAAAACGGGAGCAGAGAAGGCTTTACAACTCGGTGACATTCCTTATGTGGCTCCAGAAGACAGAGCTGAGAAAATGTACGACCGCTTCATTGCAAACTGGCCCAAGGAAGCGACGCAGCATCCTGTACGGTTGACTCTGCTCAAGAGTTTCTGGCCGCAGCTGCTGTTCGTGGGAAGTCTGGCATTTACGAGGCTGTGCGTCATGTATATCGGTCCCCTACTCATTCAGAGATTTGTGGATTTCGCTTCTGGAGCCGGCAGCTCTCCCTACGAAGGCTACTATTTGACTGCTGTACTCTTGGTCGCCACGGTCGTTCAAGTGATGTCTGCTCATCACTACAACTTCCAAGCGAACAAGTTGGGAATGCAAGTCCGTGCCAGTCTCATCACTGCCCTCTACCAGAAGGGCTTGCGTCTTTCGAGTTCTGCGAGACAAGAGCATGGACTGGGGCAGATTGTCCAGTATATGTCAGTAGATGTCCAGCAGCTTGGTGACGTTGTCATACAGTTGCACAACATGTGGATGCTGCCCATGCAGATTATCGTGGCCCTGACGATATTGTTCTCGGTCGTGGGGATAGCCACGATTGCGGGTCTCACTACAATGGTGCTCCTGGTCGTTGTCACGATGGCTACCTCGGGTTATCAAAGATTTTATCTGGCTTCCATCGCCAGAATGAGAGACAGCAGAATGAAGGCTCTCACCGAGGTTCTGAACAACATGAAAATTATCAAGCTTCAATCATGGGAGGAACATTTTCGAAAGCGCGTGGAGAGCTTCCGAGAGTCGGAGTATGGTTGGGCAGTTAAATACTGGGTCTCTCTTTCGTACAACATTGCCCTTCTGTGGATGTCACCGTCGGTGGTCTCTGTGGTCACTTTCGGGCTGTGCGTGATTTTGGGCATCGAACTTACACCTGGTCGCGTATTTACAGCTACTGCAACATTCCGAATTCTGATGGAACCTGTCCGTCTATTTCCCCAAGCTCTCATTGCTATATCTCAAGCCATGGTCTCGCTCGATCGACTGGACAAATTTATGGTCAGTAAGGAGTTGGATACAACTATCGTTGAAAGACTTCCACCTGGTGAGGAAATTGCCGTCAGTGTGGAAGGAGGGAGCTTCACCTGGGATGATGATAGCCTGAAGCCAGCGCTCATGGACATCAACGTCAAAGCTGCCCGGGGTTCTTTAGTTACAATTGTTGGCATGGTTGGATCTGGAAAGTCTTCTTTGCTATCATCAATACTTGGGGAAATGCCCAAGCTCTCTGGTTCGGTAAGATCATATGACTGTAGTTGTCCTGCAATCAAATCCTTTCTTATGCTTTGATTCGAAGGATTTTCATACTTGTTCTATCTTCTCGTTGATGCATATATGGTTTAAAAAAACTCATTGTAGACAATGTCTTTGGTTTGGACTTGAAGTAACATTTTCGTACATGGATTGGTCAGTGAATATATTTGTAGCTTGCGCGTAGTGGAAAATGGGTCTTAATTGGTTGTGATAATCTCACTTTACAGGTGAAAATAAGCGGAAGCTCAGCGTATGTTGCTCAGACTTCATGGATTCAAGGTGGAACGATCGAGGAGAACATTCTTTTTGGACTTCCCATGGATCGATCATGGTACGAGGAGACCATTCGTGTCTGCTCATTGGAAACTGATTTGCGTCTCATGGATAATGGCGATCAAACCGAGATTGGCGATCGAGGCGTCAATCTCAGCGGAGGGCAGAAACAGAGAATTCAGCTGGCTCGTGCTGTCTACCAGAATTGTGACGTCTACCTGCTCGACGACATATTCAGTGCAGTGGATGCACACACGAGTTCAGCACTATTTAAGGTGTGATATCAGGCAGCGAATTTCTTTATGATGTTTGCTTAATATATCATAAGCAAAGGCTTAACAGTCTGCCGTATGGTATCATCAAAATCTTTCTATGATTAGTACTTCAGTCTGATTAGGCCTTACGCACTTGACCAGTGCACAACTTTCTGACGGGACTTCTTGCTTGCAGCAATGTATCCGTGGAGTACTGAGATCGAAGACTGTATTGTTGGTCACACACCAGGTTGAGTTCCTGCATGGAGCAGATCAAATTCTTGTAAGTCTCACGCATTTTTGAAACTAGCATGAGATGAAAATTCTCTTCTTGTCTGGGCGTTGATGGTCACACCTCTGAGACTCCTACACAGACTCTGTTACCATCCCAACCGAAATCGTTATTTCCATGTTTATTAGGGCTGAAAACGGCACTTATTGCCTGTCATAGCCTACAGACCATAGACCCCTGAGCGTTGCCAGATGTCAAAGAGGAGGAAGGCAATAACTGAGTCGGGACGAAAGAAGAGGAGAAATAATTATTTGAGATTGGAGAGGGCCTCTATTAGAGTGGTAATCGTTCCCATAGATGAGGTCAGTTTGGAGCTTTCAAGTATATCTTACATAACAAGCTCTTCATTAGCTCATCTACGTCTTTACTTTGGTCCTTAGGCTGAACAACTGCATACAAATGCCTGCTTTCAGTTGTGTCCACTCATGGAGCAATTCAAGTGTCAGTTCGTGATCCATTCCAAATTCCTCACAAAGATTGTTTATGGCAGGTCATGCGCGATGGTAAGATCGTACAATCAGGGAAGTATGATGATTTACTCCGAGAAGGAGCTGATTTTGAAGCCCTGGTCAATGCTCATGACGAAGCATTGCAAAAAGTATCAAGTAGCCAGAACGAGGAGGCCTCTGACGGTATCACGTCGGAAGGAAGCTCTCACTCCCCTCTGAAATATATCCAAAAGCAATCATCCATGCCCAAAGGTGTCTCAGAGATACAGAAAGTGAAGAGCGAGACCAAGAAAGATGTCGTCAAACTTGTGGAGGAAGAGCAGAGAGGTGTTGGACGTGTGGCATGGGTATACTACAAAATGTATGGAACGAAAGCCTCCGGATGGTCACCTGTGATTGGCTTACTCCTCCTTCAGACCATGTGGCAGGGTATGCTTGTATGTGGTGATTATTGGCTGGCATTGGAAACATCCGACAATCACCGATCTCAGTTCCGCGGCGGTATCTTTATGGCAGTTTACGCCTCGTTTGCTTTTGGAAGTTGGATCGCGGTTTGTGGTCGCACAGCGTTGGGCACTTCATTGGGTCTAAAAACTGCGCAATTATTCTTCTTGACCATGTTACGCAGCATTTTCCGAGCTCCAATGGCCTTCTTCGACACTACACCAACGGGAAGGATCATCAGCAGGGTAGAAGCACCTTCCCCTACCTTTGTGTGCCCTTGAAGGCGTAACATTCTGATGAACTTCTTTTTTTTATAATTGAGTGAATCTATTATCATAGAGAACGCGATTTCGTGGCCTCCCTTTAATGTGAATTTCTAAACTTCCTCCCCAACTTGTAAATTTGACAGTCCATACAAGATCAATCAACGATGGATATCACCCTCGCCTTCCAGTTTGGAGCCTTCCTTGGAGTTTTATTTTCCACTTTCGGTATTCTTTTTGTGATGATCCAAGTGACCCCGCCGATATTCTTCATCATAGCGGCTCTAAGTTACACTTTCTTCGTGTACCAGGTATGTGAGCTTGATCATCATGCTTTGAAGATACTCGTCGAATACACTCTTATCCTGCCTTGTCCATGAATTTCTAGTCTGATCCTCTCCCTCTAAGGAATATTGCCAGCATGCAAGGAACGATATGAGAAAGTCGTGCATAGTTCTCAGTTTTTCGAGTCTCAGTTCCCATCTCATCTCATTATTGTTCATTTGTCGGTTCAGGCTTACTTCATCCCCTCATCAAGGGAGCTGACACGGATGGACGCCATTACGAAAGCACCGATCATCGATCACTTCTCAGGAACAGTTGCTGGATGCACGACCATTCGCTGCTTTGAGAAACAGGACCAGTTTTCGACTCTGAATGTAGAAAGAGTGAACAGCAACATTCGGATGGACTTCCACAACAACGCAGCCAATGAATGGCTTGGGTTGCGGCTGGAAATGATTGGTAGTATCATTTTGTGTTTCTCCGCTCTGCTCCTTGTGACTCTTCCGAGGAGCATGGTCAATCCTGGTAAAGCTCCCGAGCTTTTATTTCCCTCTTGCCGCCTTGTAGATCCTGAATGTTCTTCTCTCTTTACGCATTATCAATTAAGAATATAGTCGAGTTTCACAATGTCAGAGCCGTAGGTTTTTGTAGTCGTCTTTATCATGTTCGGGCATTAGCAGCCAGGCCTCGATCCGTCTATAGTCTACTTCGTCAACTTCATCAGCTTTTTATCCCGTTAACTTGAGAGAAGGCCGAATTTCTGATGTGGGAATTTTCTTGTATCTGATGTATTGCAGATCTTGTTGGGCTCTCTCTGTCATATGGCTTCGCTCTCAATTTGAGCCTCTACTGGCTTGTTTTGACGGTTTGTCAAATCGAGAACAAAATGGTTGCGGTCGAACGTATAAGCCAGTACTCTGACCTACCAAGCGAGGCGCCACTGGTTATCGAAGGCAGCCAGCCACCTCCATCCTGGCCCCAAGAGGGAACCATCATGTTGCAGGACCTAAAGGTACAACTTTTCTCATCTTACCAAGTTTCCGCAGTGATGATGCTTGAGACGACAATTCTTCAGCTTTAATTTTGGTCTTTTGCTTAATATTTCTGATTTTTTTCCAGCTTCGATACCGGCCCAACACTCCGCTTGTACTCAAAGGCTTGAGCTTGACAATTCGTGGCGGAGAGAGAGTCGGTGTGGTGGGAAGAACGGGTAGTGGAAAGTCAACTCTGCTTCAAGCTCTGTTTAGATTAGTCGAGCCAGCATCTGGACGAATAATTGTTGATGGAATAGATATAGGAACGCTGGGTCTCAGTGATCTTCGGTCGAAATTGGCCATCATTCCACAAGAGCCAACTCTGTTTGAGGGCACCGTTCGAACCAACATCGATCCTTTGGGAGTCTACTCCGACAAGGAAATCTGGGATGTAAGTTACGAAACGAGTAGATTATAGGAAACATCTTCCGTAGCTTTTGACGAGGCTATTCTCTTTCTGTAACAAAAACCTAGGACTACTCAGCTTGATTGCCGTTGCTGTCCATGTCTAGTAGGCGACCAGCAGTAGGGGTTCGGTCGCAGTGCCCTTTGATCCAGCCCATACCACTGTTCTGTTGTTGTTAGGGTGCTCGCTGTTCTGCTATTTATGTCAAGGAAGGGCTTGCCTTTCTCACAACGAGACTCACTCGGAAGCTGATCAAAACTGGAATATGAAAGTAACGTCGTCTTTTAATCTTGGGTATCGTGCAATGTGCAGACTCTGGAAAAGTGCCAGTTGAGAACGATCGTGGAGGATAAGCCTGGGAAGTTGGACTTCAAAGGTTCGTCATCTTTCCCCCTCGGACTTCCTCTTGTGCTGAGAACAGACAAAGGAAAAATTGTGTCTGTAATTTATCCCGAGTTGAGGTTCCAAGTAGAAAGACCATTAAACTAATCGATGTTTGCTCACTACCTGCAGTGGTGGATGATGGAGACAACTGGAGCGTGGGCCAGAAACAACTATTCTGCCTAGGCAGAGCGATTTTGAAGCGAAGTCGCATTCTGTTCCTTGATGAAGCCACTGCGTCTGTGGACTCACAAACAGATGCTATGATTCAGAAAGCCGTCCGAGTGGAATTCGCATCAAGCACGGTCATCAGCATTGCTCATCGGATTCTCAGTGTTTTGGATAGTGACAAAGTACTTGTTTTAGATGCTGGTAAGGTTTCCATTCGCGCCTCGGCTCGACCTCACTAGAGTTGTCGTACTTTTCAGGGATCCAGAAGCTGCGAACAAAACATTGGTTCTTTGACAGCACACCTTGAAGTTGGAGATGAGGAAGGCCATAGATCAGAGCTTCACTGACATTTTTACCATGCTCTTCATGCAGGGCTCGTGCAGGAGTATGACAGTCCGACGAAATTGAAATCGCGGCAGGGTGGATTATTCGCATCTCTTCTGCGGGAGTACTCTGCCCGTGCTCAGATCGACGAGTAGTATTATGTCCAGTATGATGCAAAACATCTGACGTAGGAGATCGAAGATCACTTCGCTATTCCATCTCACATTAGAAGAAGCGTAGGACTGCTTGTTGATCTCAGAGCCAGGAGCTAACAAGTGGTAACCAACCCAAAACTGCGTATCTACTATCAGCCTCTCAACGTATATAATCTGTGCCGGTGCTTGCTGCAGCGAAACGCGTGGACCGACCCGTTCTGCCCATGTGCCCCGTAGAGAAGTTGACATATCCAGATTAGATCCAGAATCGAGCACCTGTACATTTTTTCACACGCGAACATCCTAGTTGAGCTTCCGGTACAGTTTGATAAATGAGAGACGCCAATGTTATGGCTCCAGAACGAGCGCTGTGGAGTCTCGAGCTGTACGTAGTTATCCCTTCTAAATCCTCCAGCCAGGCCTTGGATTTTGTAAAGTACTCTCATTTTGTAGCAAGACGTAGACGGGCCTCGAGGACGGACAGAAGTGGTAGGACATCATGCATTGCATGTAATTCTTCAGTGTAGTGGTTCTTCTATCCTCACCCACGAATCAGAAATACTCTTATGTACTACTCGAACGGGATAACTTGAAGGAGCTGTTGGAGGGACAACCCTTTGGGTAGTACTCGCAGCTGAGTTGTAGTTTCTTTGCAGCGCTGCACTGGAGCGTGTCTAGTGAGCTATATAATCGCTTGGACTTCAGGATTGAAAAAGTCTCCTCACCTACTATCATCAAGAATAAGGTCCTGCCGGTTGTAGAAGCGCCAGTACGAACACATAGCTGGGAGGCAATGTCTCTGCCCAAATTTGTTAGTGAAACTCTTCGTCTCTGTAATTTTGTAATTTGTCTTCCATCGGAAGACCCAATCATACACAAGCAGCTATTCATCGTCTATTTTCTCAGCGTGTTTCTGTCAGTGCGTATCTTCCTACTCGCAAGCTCCGAAGAGGAGCATGAAATCCCGTTGCAGTCAAGAGATAAGTATACACGGCTAGCTGGGCCGCAATCCTATTGTAATAGATATGTGACGAGAATCAAATAGTGCAACTTGTCCTGGTCTTCGTCTGCCAATCTCGCCAGAGTCGCAAAATTGTCGCAAAATGAGGCAAAAAAGTTCGCAGTATGTTTCATGCCTTAAAGCCCCGGTTATAGAAAGGTGTGTATGTTAATCTCGAAGTCATTTCCTCTCTGAATTTATCGACAGAATAGAAATTGTGAAGATTACAGGTTAGTTGATAACCTTTATCTCAAGTTCCAAATAAGTTACTTACGGGTTTAAGTAGGATATAGGATTGAGGATTGGCACCTCACTCAAGATTACCTTCTCTAACTTAGTAACTCAAATTAATGTATGATCCGTGAGTTCTTTACATATTTCTAAAACAAAAGTCAAGGTACGCAGCTTTCTAGTGTTCATTTCTTCAAGTACAATACGGGGTAAATGCTTGAGTGTCGGAATCTTAAGAAGTGCGGGGAAGAGTCAGCAGGAAACGGGCTTGCTATCTAGATCTTAGTTCTTGTGTTTCTTCTCATATCCTGTCCCATCCGAGGGCATTGGATTGGTAGCAAGCTATAGCTAGACCATGGGAACCATCCTCAAATACGACGATATGAAAATTAGTTGATACAATATAGTTCAAAATATCAAATGATATGGGCCTACAAGAGGTCGATAGGCTTGATAGGATGATGAAGGTTTAACACTCTGATTTGTAGAGAATGTACATGTGAGGTCAAAGAAGATTTGAAGCTATAAGGCTACTTGAAGTTTGTCAAGAATACTTAGGATTGTTTTGAAGATGAGATTTACTTTACATCACATAATGGCCAAAAGGATGTTGAAAAGACTCTTGATCAAGTCAACAAGTAGCTGGTGGCAAATACCCTTCATGCTTGGAACATTTGGGCCAATCTGAAAGCCTTACATAAAATTTGGTTTTAGTTCGTTTCGTTGCTACTTCGTTGAAACATTTCTGAAATTTCTGAGTTGCTCCTCTGTACTGCATGACCTTCATCTGATCTTCAAAATGTGATTGTCTCAGGTGCCACCACCTGTCAAAATGCTATTGGGTACGAAACGTAACTCGAAGACTTAACATTTGTGCAGTTTCAATGGTTAGAGGAGTGAACGATTGACCGAGTCCAGCGTGAAGAAACAGTTTTGCAGATTTCTGATTGTGAATTGGATGTCCCCGGAGACACAGACTTGATTCTGCAATTGTCTTGAGGAGGGATTGTGAAACGGAACATGTGTTTTGTGGTGTAAATCCATATTTGTCCAAGCTTTTGCTCGCACAGAGCACCGAGAATGTGATCAACGATTTCGACATTGGGTGCACGCCCAATGTGAATTCGACAATGTGAATTCAGACTTTGCATTTGGACAAAAGTCTTCTGTTGCAACATTTGAAGATGAACGTGTGAAAGCTTCAGCCGGAAGACGGAGAACGAGACTGAGACTGAGACGAAAGTTTTCTACGCTCGAGACAGCGTGAGATGGAGACGTTTCTGAGCAGGTCGCTGGTTCTCGGAGGTGGATGGGCCAGGTCTGGTGCATTCATGAGGACGAGCTGCGTCGCGACCAGACGATTTTCTAGAGAGAATTCCGTGTTTCGTTGCTCCGGTCTCTCCTGTTCTGCCTTTTCCCGTCGGGGCTCCGGTGCAAACACTCGACTTCCGAGTGGCGTACGGTCGCAAAATTCGCTGAGTCTCATCTTTGGATCAGGAACTGCTTCACAAGGATTCTTCTCGGAAAGCCGGCATATTCAGACCAGGTTGTGTTTCACGAGCACCGGTAAGCTTGGCTCTTCTATTTAACAATTGTTCTTAAGTTTCTTCGTGTGCAGATCGTACATCTACAGATTTTGATCACTGCCTTGCAAGAATTGGGTCCGCTTTTTGATAGAGCAGGTAATTTCTATCGTAGGAATGAATTCGAGGTGAGTGTAACATCTGTTCTGAGATACGAGTTCAAATGTTTTTAGCTGGGAGAAAACAAGAGGTCTTCGGGCAGAATTCGGAATCGTAACGATGAAAAGACAGAGATCAGCAGAGAAGATTTTGGGGTTCGACAATTCTAAACTTGTAGCAATACTGCTTGAAGCGAGAAATATTCGTATTCCTGTTTTTAGGACTGAAATCTAGGAGCGAAATCAGATGTCAAATAGACGACAAGGAGGATCCTGTGGTGTCCACGGAGTGGCTGGCCGAACGCCTATCCGATGTTTGCATACTTGATGTACGTGGTAAGGAGTCGAAAACTTATCGGATTCTCTACGCTTTAATCAACAGGGCATGCCATGATCGCAATTCATCTCAGTGCTGAGATGAATTGCCAGCTGAATTCTATCTCCAGCTGTCAGTTTGCAGCTGGATTGTTTTCACTCGGTTGATTGGTATGATTTTCTGATTAATTTAGTCTTTCAGTATAGTTTCAGCTCGATATGTACAGCTGATTGAAAAACGAAGGTTATGAAGCGCACTAGTGCTCGTCTTTCGTGCAGGTCACGTTGACTCCTATCTTGTAGAAGAAGGAGTTGAGAAGTCAGAATACAAAGCAGACTATGATGAATATCTCGAAGGGCACATCCCTGGTGCAGTGTTTTTCAGCTGGGTATACTTCCTCAAATACCCTATACAACATCCTACCCTAGTTAGGCATGAATTAACCAGGCCTGGGTCATCAAGTGGTCGTGATATGAAACTGCTTTCCTAGGCGCACCCATTTTCGGTTATTCCTCGTGGGCCATTCGGCAGGGAACAGTTCCTCTTACAGTAAAGAAAAACTGTAGATTGAGCCTATTGAAAATCTTGCGTAAATGCAAGCGATTTACATCAGATGAAGGTCCGTTTTCCTTCTGTGATCAAATAATATCTTATGGATGCAGGTTAAAGATGGTCTAGATCCACAAGCTTCAAGTCGTCTACAGCTAATGGAGGACGTAAATGACTTTGCCCCTGTGGTAAGACTTCAAAATTTTGGCACTCACTGTAGACAAATCTCGTCTCTGTATTCATGGAACCTACCATTATGGAGTCTTTCTGATGTAAACAGAAAGTGTTTCCCCTCGTTTTCGGATTTTGCAGATGGAAGCGAAGGGAGTGTCAACAGAGAAACCTGTGGTCATTTATGACAGAGGAGATGGACTCTTGGCTCCAAGGATCTGGTGGGCTCTTGTTCTGCATGGTCACCCTTGCGTGCGGATTCTCAACGGTGGCCTTAAGAAGGTTAGGTGAGGTCTTGCTTTAGAATTTACATTCTCGTCGTGGGATGAAGTCATAGTCAATCTGAACGCTGCGTATCTCATGCTCGAAGGCCAACTTGTTCAATAACATTTGTTGCAATCCTTCGATGTCAAAGAGAGGTCCTATGCAACATATGATTCATTGTCTTTTTCTTCTTTTGTCGTGACAGTGGGTGGATGAAGAACGGCCTCTCGAGTTGTACGAACCCTGTACCTTGAAGGTAGGTTACTTCTCAACTCGGAACAGTTATATGCTTGAAGAATGTTTGAACCTTCTACACACAGAATATACTCAGCAAAGTGATGAAGGGTTTCATGAAGGCAATGAATGTATATTGTATTGTGAGGTCTTAACAATGTCATGTAAAACATTCAAATAGGAACATAAGAGAAAGATACACATGGACCAGTATTGGATCCTCATCCTCGACCAGTATATTCACAAGTAGTTGATAGGAATATCTCTTGTAATTTTTTTACGAGGATAATTTAACCTTGAGATTAACAACCTTGAATGTTTGCATATAGTCCATCTTTGAACTATATTTTGTTTGGTGAAGTAGCTTTATCAGTGGAGCAAATTCCACAGGTTTCTTCAAAGCAGGGGTACGTTAGTTCCGAGAAACTTGGTACGGTTTTTCAAGTCAGAAAAGTGTTTTCGCATTCGATAATTTCATTCTAATGGCATATGAATATTTTTAACTCCCGAACGCAAGACAGAAATAGTTGAGTACAGAAGATTCTAAATGCTTTCGAGGCTGGGATGTGTTTCAAACACAACGAAGCTAAGGTCGAAGCTTGCGGTAGGAAAGAATTGCCATTCTTACGAGTTTCGTGAGGAATACTGGGGCCATTCTTCCTTGCGAGTCTCGCGAGGAGGAAAGGAAAGGAAAGGAAATCTACTTGCCTCGACCTACTCTCCTCTGATTTGTTTGTCTTGCCCTGTCAGGTGTATGCTGATTATACGCCGAAGAAGCTCTATCCATCACTTGTGGCATCGTGGGAGGATGTTTTATCCTCCGTGTCAGGAATGAATGCGGAGAAAGAGTCTCCGGAAGAAAAGACAGCCATTGTGGATGCTCGAGATAATGCACAGTACCAAGGACATATTAGACGATCGAAGCTTGGAGGAAGAATACCAGGGGCCATTAACATTCCACGTCGTGTGAGATTTCATTTTGCTGGGCAGAACAGATCGTTTTTTTGAATTTATAATAACCAGTTGCGGACATTTGCTGCCGGATTCTTTGTAGTTAGCTAAACTCTACTGTGTTGGAAGCTGATAGAGAACTAAAAACAAGTTTGTCAGGTGACAGTTTTATGAAATTTAAACTTGCATGTGTCATCAGAGTTTGGTCCGGCCAGATGGTACTTTTGAACCGGTCGATGTGCAACGCCAAGTCTTGAAAGAAGCTGGTTTAGATCCAGAAATTCCTACCAAACTGGTAAGTTTTTCGGACAAATACAAGGTATCCTTTTCCATTTTACTCTGAGCCCGTGACTCAACTCACGTAAAAACTCTTTGTCAAGTGACATTGCCATGCAGGCAGCTAGTCGTTTAAGGAGTAAAATCAGAAGAATTTTTCCATATCATGTTTGTTGGTTGCATCTGACTACAGTGCTAAAGTTAGCGACCTTTTGTTTCACAACGGGACAAATCAACACTAAAAGACGTCTTCTCTTTTCCAGTGCCTAAGTTTGAATTTTGAGCAATATACAGATCAGGAGGAACCCGCTGGTTGACAACATCGTTTGCTTTCTTGCAGATTGCTTATTGCAATGGAGGAGTCGCTTCATGCACAGTGCTGCTTGCGTGGCATCGGGTCTCAGGTAAAGGTACATGGGCAAACTATGATGGAAGTTGGAACGAATGGGGCAACCGTGATGATCTTCCCGTCGATATGTAATTCCTTTTTCTTGTTTCAAATGCACTCAGGACACTTTCTAACAACAAAACCAGACATTCAGAACCGCCATGGTAGGAGTACTTAAGCAAAATCGTCCCTTCACGTGAACAGAGAGGACTGCCAGTTTTGAAGTAGAGTACAGATTTCAGCTCGCCCAGTTCACGGAAATAGTCAGAAAGCAAGAGTCCACTCTGGTGAAGGATAAACACATTGTACTTTGCTCTGAGAGCTCCGAGATTTTTTTGAAGTCATTATGACAACCGAGCGCATCAGACTCTCTGTAACTGCTTCTATTTCTAAAGTGAAGGACATGCTAGCGAGTAAGGTCTGTTTGTTACGAGCCTTGTGCCAAGCAACAAATGAAGCGCCTACCGCTGATGGTATCTGGACATTATGTGTGCTGAGTGCGATTCCTGCTACACGATATTTAAGCGAAATATGTCCGGGCCAAGCTAGAGATCAGTTAGATGTACATGGAAACTGATTCCTAGATACTTGAACGACCTATGTGCACATTCTTCTGCAGGCTTTCACCTGAGGAAGCAGGAAGCGCATTAGTGCCGTAAAAGCTCTTAGATTATCACACAATTCAAGACAAACCAAACAACGAATGAACATTGTACACCGATCAAGGTAAAGGTCAAGAAACGGAACGGAGACACGGGAGCATGCCCCGAGACAACGAACATCGCAAGGTAAAAGACACATGATTCTTCATGTGTCTACACAACCTGAGCCGACCCGACAAACGAGTCCTGCACGGTTGCATGAACCGGCAAATCTCAGAGGTACATTCATTTGTCCAATTCTAGACTCCCAAGTAACAACATGCTCAACTGTGTGCGTCTTATCACCTGTCTCAACTTCAAATGCATGTGAAGCAAAATCCTGTACACCGTGCCATGTATCTTACATGGTGCGGTGTATAGCCACTTATCTGCCTTAGTGCTAACTAGAGGCCCCGCAGGCTTACTAGATCTAACTTGATCTCGGATGTAATACTGTTTGATTCCCACAAGTCGCATTCCCACTAGAAATATCCAAGCCTGCCACGACCGAGACAGTACGGTCCGATTAAGCGAGCGCATGAAGATTCATAAACAGCGGAATTATGCATCGTCCTTGGGTCCTAAGTCTACTGAAACCGGCATCTCGGCTTCCGTGTCCAAGCTCGTCATGAGAGCAGGAGTCCCGGGTTCAGGCCATCACGCAAGTCATCGAGTGAGTCTTCCGGTGAAAAAAGACAACCACATCTTCGGGCCCTGTCAAGAAAAACTGGATACGCGCTCTGAATGGTTGTACTGCATCTCAACACGTACCGCTGGCGGGAGAGCAAGCATCAGGAGTTTGGTCATGAAGTTGCCCGATCCCATGCCTCCTCTACTCACTCAGGAATCGCATAGTAACTACGACACAACCTGGTCCACGTTGTAGAGTTTAGAGGAGTTTAGAGGTTCACTCCAAAATGGACGCCCCATCCGGGGTATCAGAGTCCGGCCGTCTGTATGCATGGACTCTCCGACGACGAGAAGAGAAGTGTAGGGGACGATGTTTCGATCGACGGACAGCGTTACTGGTCAAGACTCGCTGTACAGGTGGCACTGCATGTGAGGCCATGGCTGTCCTGCCCCAGGGCCGGATGAGTAATCATTGAACGGCTCGAAGAGCTCGCTCTCGACATGCCAAGTACACGGGCCAAGAATGTCCGATCGGTATGCCTTCCCGAGTACGAGGTGGCCCGATTGGATTCTCCAATGTGATCATACGTAACATCATCTTCGAATCGACCCCTCCCGACCGAATCTCACTGACGACCTGTGAGGAATACCCCAATGAGGAACGTTCCCGTGCCGAATTTCTTCGACGGAAGTGGGCCTTGGGGTGGAGGAACCCACACCCCGAGTGCCTAGGACGAGCGTTCGAAGTTGTCGGACCCGTAGTGGCCAGTCTCGCCCTTGTGGTGACCGGTTTTGATGGGCTCGCGGTCGGGGCCGGGGAAGGGAGTGTCGCAGACGTGGTGGTCGCGGCCCCAGTAGGCCCAGGACAGGCCCTTGCCGGAGTAGGAATAGAGCTCGGCCGCGCCCCAGTAGAACTCGCGGGTCCGCTCGCACCGGCCCAGGTCCACGTACGGGCGCAGCAGCATGTCGTTCGGCAGGAACTCCATGTTCGGCCGCCAGTACTTGACGGAGCTGTGGTACCGCCGGTGCTTCTCGGTGTAGTTCTCGGCCCAGGCGCCGGCGCGCACGATGATGTCTCCCCGGCGCGGCCAGAAGTTGTCGGTCAGAAAAGTGCCGATGGCCAGATACTTGCCGGGGCTCTCGTAGTCGAGGTTGTGGTAGTTGAAGTCCACCAGCAGATACGGCTGGCGGCCGAGAAACATCCAGTCGCGGCTGGCCGTGTGCATGTACAGCTCCAGGTTTCCGTACGGCACGTACTGGCCGTCCGGCATGAACTTGCCCAGGCGCAGGACGAGGTCGCCGACGCCGAACATGTACCGGCTGCGCAGGCTCATGACATAGCCGGACTTCATGGCGCGGTAGTAGTTCTGCGCCGGGTTGATGATGATGAGGTCCCCGCGTGCCGGGCCGAACCACGGGTCGATGTCGCCGGTTCTGATCACCCGCGTGCTCCCGTACTCCAGCGGCGTCGTCCACCTGTCGGTCACGGGCTTGGCCAGCCCGTAGCTGTCGTCCCAGAGGTCGCCCTCGAAGACGCGGCTGTCGCAGCCCCTCCTCTCGTCGGCTCTGCGCATCAGGTAGCTCTGTTTCCCGGCCGGCCGGACGTTGCGTGTGCGCATGTCGCCCATCGGCCGGTACTCCAGCATCGCCGGTGGCCGCCGCCCGAAGCATCTCCACTTCGCCGGGTACGGGACGTCGACGAACTTCTCCGCCCTGCGTGAGCCGCATCCCCCTCCGTCGCCTTCGTCGTCCGGGACGCCTTCGGATTTGCGTTGCGACTTGCTGCCGTTCGTGCTGTCGTCGCGGTCGGGTTGCCGATCTGCCGTCGAGGTTTTGACGGGGGCGGGTGCCGTTGGGCTTTTCCTCCTCCGCCCGGTGGGGCTCGATCTCCCGCTTCTGGCCTCCGTCGTCGTCGTCGTCGTTACCCTGCAGCCGTCGCCGTTCGACGAGTTGTTGTTCAGGAGGTCGAGCGCCGGCCCACAGTTGCTGCTCGACCGCGCCCGCGGGCTCCTCCTCAGTTTGTGGGTGGGTGAGGAGTTCACCTCATCGTCGTAGTCGATGTCGCGGTCATGATCGTCGTGATAGTTGTGGTTTTGGTGACCGCGATGGGCATGACTGCGTCGAGGGCTGCGCTGCGTAGGGGAGCGAGCCCTGACTGCGAGCTCTGGGGGCGGGGTAGGGCTGCTACCGACGCTCTCGACATCTCGGTCGCGGTCGCGGTCACCGTCGTTGCAGTTGCGTCCTCCGCCGCCGCCGCCATCGCCATATTGCCTGCGGTGCTTTGCGTCTCGTGGACTCGAAGGCTTCGTCGACGAGGGGGGCAGATCAGGAACTACGAAGTCTCGGGCATTATTGCCCGGACCTGCCCTGGATTTTGCCACAGCGGCCGAGTTTCGGCTCCCTCTCGAAGGGCGATGGTCTCCCGAGCGGCCATAAGCCATAGAATGCATGTTGTCTCGTGGACCTTACCATCAACCGAAGTCTTGCAATGTGTGCTGGCCTCCTTCTTCCTCTTCTCTCCCGTGGAGCACTCGATCCGTTCGTACCAGGTATACAAGTCGTGGTATTACCGCGCCAAAGTTCTGAATGTTTTGCACATAATGCAATTGCTATTCAAGAAATTTCAAAGCTGTGAATGCTATCAAGATGCGTCTCTTCAGGCTCGATTGGACGCGCCGCTTGAAGGTGATGGGTGCAATTTCTCAAGAGTGTAGTCCACTGGTTTCGATTGCGAGTATCCGGGAATCGTGGACTGTCAATCTGATTTTGAGCTAATCTTGAGCAGTAGAAAATCCATCTCGGATTCTGCAGCAAATCAGTCAGTCCTCGTTACTCATAGTAATTAGAAACTATTGTTCTCCGTTTCTATCTTCGATGCTAAAAGAGTGTCAAACAACAGAAATCAACGACGTGCAGGTTAACATTAATTCCTGCTTAGCCCTCTTCGTGGGTACGGCCTTCACTTCCGTTCCTCGATCGGGCTTAAGACGTTCATCACCGATCCCTGAACATGGATCCGCCTGTAAATTCGGCGGCAGCAGCATAGTGGTTGTATCTGAGGTTTGAAAGTCGGATGGGCTTGGATCCTTCAGTTTTGAACTACTTCTCTGTCAGCAATTTATTCCAATTTGCGTTCGGGGCTGGCCTTTAGCTGTGTCAAAATGGAAAGAACTCGACCATGAAGGTTCTGTAGTAGATGCAGATCGCATGAGCTTTCTGGAGTCCCGGTCCTACTTCTGCTGTTCTTTCGTCACTAGCTTCGTACGATCTGATTGAGGAACGGATTCGACAACCTGATCGAGCTACATGTGCTCGCAACGAATTCTGACAAAAGTCTGCTCTCACATTGGGCTCACATGTTTAGGGTGTTTACATATTTTATGTAAACACTCTAAACATGATGGTGTTTGTGTACGTATGGTGTTTTCTCCTTGCGTTCATTCGTGTGAATGAGTTAATTTATTAGGCGGATCATACTTCTTCTAAGCGCACACAATCTGCAGCAGAAATCAGTCCACGTGCTTGCAAAAGATCCCTACTTATCTAGAAACTGCGACCAGAGGATTCAGACATTATTGTAGTGAATTACCAATCTGTTCATTATGGCCTTGGCTGGCCATAATGGCCATAAATTTAGAGTGAGCGTGAGTATTATGGTACACAAGGACTTTAACGACAAACAGCCTCAAAAAGTGGAAAATCTGATTCTCAATCTTAGAAAATTTATTGCAACTGAGCAACTCTACATAAATTACTCTTGGATAAGATAAGAAGCTCCGCCATGAATATCAAGCTGCAGAATAAATTAGCTCCCCATATGAAGCAAGTTCAGTAAGATAAAATCTCAATATTACAGGAAGGTATTTGTAGATTCCACCTATTCATGTAATGTGAAAGTGTTTTCCAACTTTAATGTACAAGTTGTTAGAACCAATTCGAAGTACAGCAATATGAGACCCAAGTATTTTCGTCTTGCATTATGTGAAAATTTGTGAGAAACCTGGACGACTACATCTAGGAACTTGGTATTGTGAAGTACAATGCATATAGTACAAGTTATATGGTCATCGAACATTTCAATCACGTCAAAATCATTCACGTCAAATAGTGGTGGCAATGACTCTTAAGTTACACGACGGATGGGCCCAAGAAAACTTTGATACACAAAGTTGAGAAAGGATAAATTGAGAATCTTGTGTTTGGAAATATTTTTTGTGTTTGATTTCTTTATTTTCACATCGATACCAAAAGACTTAACGACAAAGCTTTAGATTTTGAAATGTGAATGGTACGGAAACTCGAGAGGAGCTGCTGGTGGAAACCAAACTTTCCTGTTGTGTTTATGAAAATGATCGCTCTCGGGGGGCTGTGTTGGCAAATCGCAAGTTGAATTGGAAGCGTTGCATTGTTCTCTAAAGTCTATAGTGGGTGTCAATCTACACGAAGTCAAAACTTAGCTAAATTTTTTTAAGTTGGATATATGAATCAATTCTTGATTGGGGCTCTGAAATCTGAAGCACTATGGAAAGGGATAATTCTCAATCTCACTATCCAACTTCAATATAACCAGGGTAAATATTTACAATGGATCTTGAGGAAACAACTATTCTGTTGATGTTGCTTTCCGTTGGGAGAGTTTATGTAGTATTATTTTGAAAATACAATCCTATTCTAAATGAATTGGATTCGCAAAAGTGGAAGCTATTCATTGTCATGTAAAAATTACTCTCGAGATCCCAATCTTGGATCTATCTGGTCCAAGTATGCATCAAAACCTCCTCCATATGCTAAAGGTCGACATCGAAGAAGGAGTAGAGATAGGAGGAAGCGGTTCTGGGAAGGTTAGGATGTGAGAGATACAAAAGGTATTTTTACTAATTCAAAATTGTAAAAAAACCATTAAGAAGAATGCTCAACTAAGACTATGAGAAATTACCACCTGCATTGAAGTTGATGGTTGACTTGGGAAGTAGCAAATACTTGAAACAAACATTTATTTTGTAAAGAATGATTATTCAAACTTTTGTTCACATGTGAAACTTTCGCACAAATGTAGTAAACTCTTGAAGATTTGAAATTGTAGTAGCAAATTATTGTCAATATATTTAAGTAATCAGAGGATAGAGATTAATAAAAAATTTTAAAATACGATACATCAAATTATATTGATAAAACTCAAACATGATATGAAATAAGGGGTTGATTCATCAATTCTTTAAGATATTGATATGGAAAGTGACTATGATGATAATAATGAGCATTGATGTTGAAAGAGTAAAAACCTTATCATTGTAAAGAATGTCTAGTTTTTGTTAATAAGCTTGAATATAATATTGTTAAAAAAATTTATATTGGGAGCGCCACGTCAGCAATCCGTGTGCTTGTTAGAATTATCAACCACGTCATCCATCCACTATGAGTTGGATGCATGGTGACGATAAGATCTTATCTCTTTATACTTGGTGAGAACTGTACAAGGGAGAGTAGAATCTATCATCTTCAAAGTTTATGTTTCCATCTTCGAGTGAATTTTTCTCTAAACCTTAGTGTTATAGGGATGGGTAGTCGGTTGGAGAAGTATGCAAGGAAGGAGGAATCATATGTCATTGTGTGAGTGAACGGAACTGGTGCTTGTGCTGTGGAGCTAATGTTGGGTGCTAAGAGGTGAGAGTGAATTTTCGTTTGAGAAGAGTGGAATTTCAAAACTAAAAAGAGAGCTTCTTTGTATTTGCTAAAGAGGGATTTTTGGAGGTGAAGAGTAGGGATTTTTGAAATGAAAGAGTGGAATTCTGAAGTTGAAGAGGAAAGAGTAGATAATGAAATTTTGGAAGTAAGAAGAGGGTGATTTTGGATGTGCTAGATAGTAGAATTTTGAAGTTGAAGAGAGAGGAGGAGGGAGTGGAATTTCGGAACTGAGAAGATAGCGATTTCGGAACAATAAAAAGAATTTTGGAGTTGCTAGAAAGTAATTTTGAATGGGCTAAAGAGAGTAATTTCAAAGGTGAAGAGAAAGGTATTTTGGAAGTGAAAAGAGTCAACTTTTGGAGGTGAAGAGAGGGGGATTTTGGAGTTGAAGTGATAAGGAATTTCAAAGGTGAAAGAGTGAGATTTTGGAAGTGACAGAGAGGGATTTTGGAGGTACTGAGAGGAGATTTTCAAAGGGAAAGAAATAGATTTTTGAAGAGAGAAAAGAGATTTTTACAGGGAGAATGAAGGAGATTGAGAGAGAAAGAAGGGAATATTAGGTTAATCCGTATTAGTAAATACGTGATTTCCAAGAGTAGAGAGTGTGATGGCTTAAGTGTCAGTTTAAGTTACTCCCGGACTATAACGCCTATGGATAGAAATATTAAGCTAACATTTTCTATGACTAAATAGTGCAAAACTTATTGTATTTGATGATACGCACTAAACATAATATTGTTTTAGCTATGACCAAGTTGAGCAAATACATGTCAAATTCATAAAAATGCATAAAAAGTTGTGAAATGAATTCCTTAATATCTCCAAAGTATTAAAGATTATGATATTTTGATTGATGGCTTATTGAAAAATGCCAAATATTTGTTAAACTACATTGATTTTGACTATAAACAAGATTTACAAAAGAAAAATCTACAACTTGGATAGTTGCAATTGAAGGTGTCTATGTTATTTAAAAATTACTTTGTAAAAATGCATAGTTTGTTCCATAACAAAAACACAATATGTAGCTGCAGTAGAAGCAAAAAAAAAAGCTATTTGATTCAATATTCTTTAAAATGAGATGGGTTCAAATACATTTTTTTCAATCTTCAATTTGATAATGTGTTACATTTTTCTGCAAAACAAGTGATAAATAACGTAATAAATCATATCAAAATCTAATATCATCGTATTATATTTGTAGGGTTTGATAAAAATATTGAACTAGAAAAGTTTGAAGATAAATTTACTTCAACTCACACATTGATGGATTGTGACAAGAACCATGAAGGAATACATCTTCAAAAACCTCGATGACCATTGTTTACAAATCTAACATGACGAAGTAATTCATGAAATATCTCAACATGACATTTTTCTCCTTCCAAGCCGTCCATGTTGTGAAGTTCAGGGTGAAGAAGGTTGTTTATCTATTGGCAAACTTATAAGAGAGTAAAATTGTTTTCTTATTGAGCTCATGAAGAACGGAATTTTTTATCTCCTTGTTTCCTTGTGTGTCCGCTAATAGACAAAATCACCTTGCGCTCGTCTTTGCAGCAAACCGATGATCAAATGTTGGACGCTCCGATTTTAATTGTAACGACAAAAAACAAAATATTATATACGCAAACACATCATCAATGAAATGTTGACGTGAACATGAGATGTTACTGAAAAACCTAAAACGCATTGTAGAACCTTGAATAGTAATATCAATGTGTGTGATTGTGTGTTTTTATGCTTGTTTTTGTAATTCTAGGCAATACATATATCAATTGTAGTAAATTTCATTTTATGTTTACTGCAAAATAATATGTTTTCAAGGTTGATGAAAATTTTAAGCTACATGATGAAATAAAATGTAAAAATATAATTTTATTATCAATTTGCATGAAATAATTTATTCTATAAAAAGGTTAAATAAAGAGATTTTTAGAACATATACATATATTTTTTAAAATTTTGGACACATATTTTATTCATAGATACTTACTACTTCATAATC